CGAGATCGCACCTTCAACAAACAGGACACCTGAGATGATTTCAGATGTGACTCTGGGATAACAGTAAACACACTGGCACGCACCTTCGCCCAAAATTCTAGAGAGGTTATACCGGACTTGTGACGGTTTCTGGTAATCGCTACTATGGGTGAGAACATGGTTCAATGCGCGGGTGTCCATCGTGAACAATCGGTCTGACTGAGAAAGAATTTCAGACATGGTAAGTTTTGTAATGCAGGAGAAATTGAACATACGAAGAAGAACCCTTTGTATTTCAGGGTCGTCCCATATTGCTCCACCCATTGCTCGTGAAGGACTGAATTTTCCTGCAAGTCTTCAATGAGGACGGCGCGACGGTGAGTTCGATGGATAACTATACCGCCTTGAAAATGTCCTTCAAGTTTCCATATAGCCAGCTTGTTCCTTTTGGGCCTTGTAGTACGCGCAGTGGGGACCTAAGATTGTGCCATACTCGCTCTCCTAACTTCCAACATCCGAACGCAACGAGTGCGGAGCTTGCTGAAAGAACAAGTTTCGAAAGGATATGGGTAATTGGCATGCTAGGGTAGATGAAGATTGCTCTTCACAAATGTTCAATCTGCTTATAATGTGTATATAGCAATGACTTCGGGCCTGCCGCGTTAATCAAATGTCTATGTGCGAAACTACTGACGTGCGTGTCTCGCCGAAGGCACTGAGTGCACAGCCGTACGCAGGTACTATTTGTCATGCTGATTCCGCCAGGCCGCCAGCTGCTGCGACCCAGGCGCCACGGGTGACTGGTCCCGGTGACCTGTGTAACGAAGTGAGAATGATACTGAATGATATTTGCCGAAATAAATAGTCTAATAATGTATGGAGGCAACCAACCTCGGGCTTCTGCCATTCGACGCCGAGTGCAAGTCATGCGTGTACCCCTCTGAGGTCTGTATTTTAAATTACGTAAATAAATCCGCGGGATGACATATGTTCCTTACATAATTTATATTTAGTCCGTCCACCTGCGTGCGTCTCGCGCGTGCCAGGGCGCAAATTTCAAACTTGAAGCTGTGCACCGCTCCGCTGCTGGAAGTCGATTATGTACTATATAATTTCCTTTTTGAAACTCATCTCTGCATGTCGAGTTCCCCGCTCTCGATAACTAATACCGAACAATTTATCAGCTTCTCCTATGACGGACAGAGCATGTGCGGGCGTGATCTAGTGATGGTACAAAAACTCGACCTCGACCTAAGCAAATAAGCCTTTCATTGGCACCAAGCCAGAAAGTGATACGTCGAGATATCCTTCCCCAGGTGCGCATGATCAATGGTTGCTATCTCTGCTAATTTTGAATGTCTAACAAGGACCACATGCAGGTCTGCTCAGTCGTGGGAGAAGTCAACCTTGTCTCAACGTCTTGCTTGTCACCGTTATCGCTCAAGTGACCTCTGAGAAATGCTCCGCTCGGGGGTACTTGAACCAAGCTCATCTCGTCGCTTACTTACGTGCTGACCTTCTGCTTTCTCATATTCCCCTTTGCACGCAAAAATGGGTGCAAAACTACTTACCTTCTTCTGGGCATGGCTAGCGCTTGGCCAGTCCTTATACATATCCCGACCGGTAGTTTCCGCGTCAATCACGACGCCTCTACCCGATCTTTACGAGGCATCTGTGATTGAACTTCAAGCGGGCCTTACTTCGGGGCAGTTCACGAGTATTGACCTGATTAAGGTCCGTAAGCATGCTAGCCGCAGTCTTGCATATCATAAATCGCCTGCAGTGATACTAATGGAGTTATGGACATGGTTGTACAATTTGATTTGACAGGCATATTTCGCCCGCATCGAAGAAGTTAATTTGCAAGGGCCGGTGCTTCGTGCTGTGATTGAAACAAATCCGTCTGCGCTCCAGGAAGCTGCGGTGCTGGATTTTGAGCGCCTTACCTACGGACCACGGAGTGCGCTCCATGGGATCCCCGTGCTTGTGAAGGATAATATTGCGACTGTAGCATTTGAAGGTGTGTTTCAATGATGTGGAGTGGAAAGTCAATGGTCATAGTGACACACGAAGGAATGAACACAACTGCGGGGTCATATAGCTTGTTGAACTCTGTGGTTCCGGACGATGCAGGTGTAGTGAAGCGATTACGCGAGGCAGGGGCCATTATTCTCGGTGCGTTTCCTGAAGGCGCAGTATGATATCAGAATTCAACACAGTATGCCACTGCAGGTAAGGCAAACCTGTCCGAGTGGGCACACTTCCGTGGAAACATCGCCTCTGGATGGTCAGGACGTGGAGGGCAATGCACGAATGCATATTACCCAAACGCCGACCCGTGTGGTTCGTCGGCTGGTTCTGGTGTCTCTGCATCTATTGGCCTGACTGCCGTCGCTCTTGGGTTCGCTCCAGTTCACTCTCTTACACTTGCACTTTAACTGATATCAGAGACAGGACAGAGACAGACGGAAGTATCACATGTCCGGCGAATCAAAATAATGTGGTAGGCATCAAGCCCACCGTGGGATTGACATCCCGTGCTGGGGGTAAGTTTTGTCTTGCCCCATCTCTTATCAGGTTCACAAACCTATCTCCAGTTATACCGATCTCCGAGCACCAAGACACAGTGGGTCCGCTCACTCGCTCCGTCACAGATGCCGCCATTGTCCTTTCCATCATCGCTGGCCCAGACCCTAATGACAACTTTACGCTGGCACAGCCAATGCCCGTCCCTGACTACCTCATGGCACTCAGTAACACATCGCTTGTTGGCAAGCGCATTGGAGTGCCGCGCGCAGTCTTCTTGAATGACAGCTTGACTGGCAATGATCCATACGTGAACCAAATATTCGAGCAGGCACTGGAGACGCTACAGATTCTGGGCGCGACAATTGTAGACCCCGCTGATTTGCCTTCGGCGTATGAGATCTATGAGTCTAATAATGAGACCGTTGTACTGGATGTTGACTTCAAGGTATTTGAGCACATTTGAAGCATTCAAAAAATTTGGTGCTAACACTTCAATTTGGCAGGTCCAACTTAATGCCTGGTTTGGCAGTCTTGTCGCAAACCCATCAGGCGTGGCTTCGCTTGAGGACTTAATCATGTTCGACAACAGCAATCCGACGCTTGAGGAGCCCGCCGGATATACGGACCAGTCTATGTGGGTACCCTTCAAGAACGCCGTCATACTCGCTGAAATTGCTGCAGTTTGATCGAATCACAAGCGACTACTGGTTTCAATGCATCTTATTACCAATCTCTCGCGTTTGACAAGGAACTTGGCGCCACTAATGGTATTGATGCTGCCCTGAAGATGTATGCTCTCGACGCTCTGGTGCTCCCTGCACCAGGTTATACGACTGTCCCTGCAGGTTCGTATTGAAAATATGTTTTTCATACATGGACTCAGACGCGGTACTCTCGCAGCCATCGCAGGATATCCGATTATCACAGGTAAGTGATCTCTTCAATGTCTAACTATCTGAGTGGCTAATGCTCCCGACGCTAAGTACCTTTGGGTTTCTATCCAGAGAATGTTACAATTGGCAGTGCTGGGCCCGAGACTGTGTATCCGGCTCCAGGCGTCCCTATTGGACTTTCGTTCCTTGGAACAGCATGGAGCGAGTATAGCCTTATCAGTTTTGCATATGCCTACGAACAGAAGACACAAACAAGGCTTCAAAGGAAAGCCTACGCTGCGGCAATTCCGACAACACAGTTGGAGGATGTGATAGGGCAGTAGTTGCCATAACTGTGCCTTGAGATGGGTTCACTGTTTACCAAACTTCTCCCTTAGTTGTATAGATGTGGAATACAAACCACAAGTTCTTGGTTTGCCCTGTTCGAAGGCGGGTTGCCAGTCCAACAACACGGAAGACTGCGTGTGAAAATGTTAAGACATCATACTATTCCAACAGCTGCCTTGGCGTAATGTGTTGGGCTGAGCTCATTGACATTACCCGCCCCAGTTGGTTTAACACAGTGAGCAATGCAACAAACAACACATTTCTTGAATGGTCCCACAACCTCTTTTCGGTAAAGCTGGAGAGTCGTCAGACAAGTCAATACAACCCCCTGCTAATTGTAATTTGGTACACAAGTTCTCTGCATTCAACAAGTTCAAATAAACTGCGCTTCTATATTGCCGCCTCTAATGCCTCTGACTCGCGGCACTGGATTGTTAAGATTGACTGCACCTCACAAACTGACATCGCCATTGCCGAGGACGACACTGACTAGTATAGCGGTAAGCAAATGAGCTCAAGATGCTGGAGGATGGTAACAAGGGATCTGGCAGGCTTGGTAAGGCATACATAATCTTTGGTACCACTCTATGCTTCAAAATAACTGCACCAAGACAAAATGTTTCAATGGTACCAGATGGCCCTTCAATTAGTGTTGCCTGTGGCACCACCTGATGTTCCCACGTATCTAAGCTAATTAGACATGACAGCTGGGCGTGATGGCAGGTCTTATTCAACTGGCAATTAGCTGTAGCCACCCAAATGAATAACTATTCAATACTTCAAAGCCTTTGAGTGTAGCAAATACTTACTGCTAGCGTAGGGGGGTAGTATAGAGCCTCGGCATCTTCGGCAACCTGCTCCCGGTGTGCCTGGGAGTTATTTTAATGTATCCGTCCATTAATAGAAATACCGCCGGCAGCCAAAGAGCCACATCACCGCCGAGCTCGCTGTGCGAGACAGCGAGCTCAAGTATCTCGCCACCACATTCATCAATTGAAGCCGGGTTTTTTTAAACAGGTAGTATACAATGTAAGTAATGATTATCTACCATCATGCATCTCCAGCAACCTGCAGGATGGCTTCCAGGACGCGAGAGTCCTCCTCCCCATCTGCATCAGCAATCTCCTCTTCCTCAAGGTCCTGCAGCACCTCATCCTCGCCCTCCTCCATCATAGTGGGGCCCACAGGAAGGAGCTTCGCAGGAATGCACATGGCAGCTGCACTCGCAGCTGCACCAGGACCTTCCTCGACACTTTCACCTGGTGTGATTGATCCTGTAAAGCCTGGCAATGTGTTGATTTCGTGCAGGCGGCGGAGGTGGTATGATGTAAATCTAGCGTGTATGTTCCAGTGTACTCCAACTTGATGGGTGAGGGCAGGATGCATCGACTGAAGCTGCTTCTGGCACTCAGTCAAGTAAAGTTCTTCATCACGCAAGTAGGTGGCCATGCGACAGATCTCGACATTGAGGTGCTGTATTTTCTCGCTAGCCCGACGCATCTTGAAGTACGTATCCATCATATGTTGACCTGTAGGAGTGGCCCAAGGGCAGTGTGAAATGTCTTGGTGTGCATCTCGCAGAAGGTCGAAGTCTGCAACAAAGGCATACTTGACAACATCTTCCCATGACAGAGTAGCTCGTGGGGGAGAAACAGCGCATGCTGCTGTATTGTACTTGTCGAGAGCTGTGTGGATTGTGGCTGAACGCACTTGCAAAGCCTTGCCAATGTGTTTCTGAAGCTTGTAACCTGGTAGGAAATCAGCAAGATTCAAGCGAACACATTTAGACTAACCTGTTCCCGCTCGATTCATCTTTGAGAGCTCAAAAATTCGGGCGACAACCAAACCTTCCAGGTTATCGAGTGCACGTTGCAACTTGTGATTGGCAACTAGACGACCAGCATCTCTCCATTCCGGTGTAGAAACAACAATACAATGAGGAACAAGGATGCTCCTAACTGTATCTATAAAATGTTGTGAGGTCGCGCGTTACCTAGTCTGCTATTCTTGAGGAGACAAGTGCGTTCGACCCTAGGGGAAGCGAGTGCTGCGAAGATCTAGAGGTACGCGCTTCAGCGAAGCGTGAGAAAGCGCAAGTGCGCGCAAGGTACGAAGGCGCGGGAACGCGCGCGCGTATTAGCGCGAAGCGCGGGAAAGCGCGCGCGCGTAAGCGGAAATAAAAGAGACTAAGCTTAAGTGATGATATAAAGCAATATAAGAAAAGATAGATGCAAAGTGTAGACCAATAGACTTCTACTATGTACTGCTAAGTAAATAGTGGGTGATAACTAGTAAGTTCAAGGGAAAAGTAAGGTGTGAAAGGTAAATCAGTAATAGTATGTACTGCTGGCGCTTATATAGCGCGCCTAAGCGCGGTCATGCGGAGCCGAAGCGCTACCGAGTAGGTATGTAAAGATATATATAAGTGAGAATTCATGATAAAAATAAAGGTGGAATGATATGCTAATAAAAGAAATGGAAATATACGCACTAGAGGGCTTGGTGGACAGTGGATGGATGCTTCTGGATGGCTGGCGCTATAGGGCGCGCAAGCGCGGGAACGCGCGCGCGCGTATACATCGCGAAGCGCAGGAATGGTGCGCGCATGGCGCGCATTGCGCGGGAAAGCTGCGCCTCATATAGGAATTGCTGTGGACAGTACACAGAGTGGTGCTGCGAGTTGGTGCTGTATACTCCCTTAGTGGAAACTGCCATATCACGCCATGAGAGGCATGAGTCTCTACATCTCCCAGGGACTTTAAATTCTGAGTGTCCCCACTCAGCGCGCGTGTGGTGAGGATGTCGAGTGATAGTATGCGTGTGCGATGCATGTACAATGCTTGGGTTGTTGGGCGATGAATGCGCGAGTGCAGGAATTATTGCGCGAGGTGCAAAGCGCGGGAAGGCGCAGGTGCGCGTAAGGTGCGAAGGCGTGGGAAGTTGCGCGCATGGCGCGCGCGAGGCGCGAGAATGTGCGCGCACTATGCGTGAAGGCGCGGGAATGAAGCGTAGCATGGCGAATTGCAAGGGTGACTCTGGTGTGAATAGTGTTCCCTGGGTGTGAGGCGATGATGTGAGAGTGATATGGATGTGGCGCGCATATGGCATAAAGCGCGAGAAAGTGCGCGCGCGCAAGGCGCGAGAAAGCGCATGAGTGTCGCATGTGTTGTATTGTGCGTATGATGCGAAGTGGTGCGGTCCAAGAGCGATCCAATCCAAGTCCAAACCAAGTCCTGCTAGGCGCGCTAAATATTAGGTGGTAAGGTTTGAACAGTGTGAGTAAAACTATATGTGAAAATGCGAAGGAAAAAATGGTAAACTTTGCGGATGTCCTATCCGACTTGTCTTCTTCGTGCGGCTGTCGACATCTACACCTTCCTATGAGCGAGGCGCAGGAAGCGCGCATGTGTGCGCGCGCGAGGCGTATGGGCGCGTGAATATTGCGCGCGTATGTGCGCGTGAGCGTGGGAAGACTGCGCGCATATGTGCGCGTTCTAAGGTAAAAAGGAGCATGGTGCCGCGTCATGCATGCGAAGAGAAAATATACTATTGAGCTAGGCGGGCACGTTCTATGATTGTTTTTCTTCTATGTTCTTCTAAGTGATTCCTATATGCATATATATCAGCGAGTTATTAGTTCTTTGGATGGCGTTATAATGAGAGAAAATAAAATGAAAGAGCGCTGGATGAAACCCAGGGTAAAACGAATGGTATCCTATGAAACAGCGATGCTATATGTTGTTCTTTCATGCGCGGCTGAGGCGCTTGATCCTCCTCCTTGAGCGCGTGCGAGTGCGCGTGACTAGCGCGCTTCGCGTCTCTTGCGAGCTGACGCTTTACCCAAGGTAGGGTTGGAATGAGCGAGGCTGGCGCGCTTGGGGGGGGGCTTGTAACTGGCAGAATGAATTCCTGCACAACGCGCTGCAGGTTGAAGGCGCGCCAATGGGAGGCGCTGCAAGGGGTGTAGGGGCGCCCTACAAGCTGATAGGATGCGCGCGATGTGCGCGCCTTGGTGCGATTTCGCGCGAATTTAATTATATTGGCCGAACACGCGAGGAACGGCCATTTCTCTGCAAATGCATTAGCGAGAGACATGTATAGTGAAGAATTAGGCGCAAATGTTGCGCCAATGGGCTGTAAGGGTGGTATATCAAGGCGCAATAGGCGCATAGGTGAAGGAGAATAGTGCGCATCAAGGCGCGCAGGAATGAAATTGACATGGTAAGCAAAAGCGCGCAGAATGTGAATAAATGTGGGAAGTGCAAAGTTAAAGATGATGATAGGGGAGTTAGGCGCATATGTATGTGTCAGGCGCGCGCCTAAGTCGCGCCTGGATGGCTGATTGAAATATACTTTGTGTTGAATGATAGAAATGCGGTTTAGAAGGGGAGAAGCGATAGAAATGCGGTAGCGTGAAAACTCTGCTAAAATTATGAGTGCGCGAGGCGCGGGAATGCGCGCGCATATTGCGCGATGCGTGTGATCATGGCGCGTGAATAAGGGGTGGTGCAAAGATGAAGTTACAGTGTTTGGAAGCGTCATATAGCTCCTTAAGAGCTTTAAACATGAAAGAGACAGAAAATGCGAAATGAGACGAGGGTAAATATACAATACCTCTAGGCGCGCGCATTGCGCGTCCTCAGGCGCAATATGGTGCGCCTGAGTCGCGCCAGGGTCGCCTGAGACATGCTCTGCTTGGTGGTTGGGCAGCGTGATGCACGGATGCTTTACCGGCATGCGATAGTCACTGGAAGCAAAAAGCGCGATGTGTGCGTGATCGTGAGTGACATCTGGAATTTCCAGAGACAAACTCTGGTTGATGCAAGGTGTGACTTGAGCCTCTGATGCGATAGGAGGCTCCTCTATAGGCGCACTAAGGCGCAATTGATGTTTAGGGTCATCCCTGACCTCTAATGATGCGAGTGGTGATAGCGGTGATGGCGATGGTGCGATTGGCGAGGTTTCTTCCGTAAGCGATGCAATAGCGAGGGGCGAGCATGTTTCTAGTGGTGCGTTAGTGTGCAATGGATGTTTAGAGTCATCCCTGACTTCTGGCGATATGATAGCGATGGGCGCGCGCGATGCGATAGCGATAGGCGCGCGTGTTTCAACTGGCGCGTTAGTGTGCAATAGATGATTAGAGTCATCCCTGACTTCTGATGCGATTGATGGTGATGGAGATGATGCGGATTGTGAAGGAGATGATGCTGCTGAGGATGATAGTGAAGAGGCGCCTGCAGCGCGCTTTGCGAGCGCGCGTTCGAGTTCGTGATCTAAAGTAATGCAGTCTGATATAGCTTTGCATGCTGGCGCAGTTGATGCTTGAGGTGCGCGTGAATCGCGCGTAGGCGCGGGAAAGGCGCGCGCGCGAGGCACGTGAATAGGAACTGGTGGCTTTCTGTCAAGTACAACATCTGAGGGTGCGCGATAGAAGAGTCCAGCTGTTGCATTAGTGCTAATGGTCGTATCCTGCGTTGCGCGACGCGCGTGGTAGCGATCTTTGTACTTAGCTACCTTAGCTTGCACTGGTGTGCTTGGCGCTACCACAGGTGCGCTAACTGGTGCGCTTACTGGTGCGCTTGGCGCGGGAAAAGCGCGCGCAGGTAATAGGAACTGCGCAGCTGCGAAGATGTCCATGAATGGGTATGGGTCGTATGGATGGTGGTCAGGGAACTTGATCATAAGGCGCAAGCGAATTTGCGCCTGAGCATCGCTAGGGATTCCTTCCATGAATAGGTGGTCGCGTTCGGCCTTTCCAATACGGTCTTCATCCATGAGTGGCTGCATAACCTTCCTGAATGCGCGCAGGTAATTGCTGAGTTCTGTGCAAGAGGTCATTGGTTTGTTAGCGTATTCGCGCGCGATAGCGCGCAAGTCCGCGAGCGCGTAGCGTCTTTTACCATCCCATCCAGGATACATTACCTTCACTTCTGTCATGAATGCTTCATAATCACTTACTGCCGCTTCTGGCATACCTCCCCATAGTTCTCGATCGTCGCGCTCAAGGTAGCGGATAATACCTTTAATGCGGTCGTGTCCTTGGAGTCCTGCTTCATCAGCAAGCTGCTCATATGCGTCAATAAATTCGGCGAGGTTGTCTGTAGTGCCGTCGAACTTGGGCGCGTTTGCTGTGCCGCGGATGGGCAATCTATAAGGCATTGAGGCGTGCGAAGGCGCATGCGCACGCGAGGCGTATAGGTGCGCGCGTAAGGCGCACAGGGGTGGGAAAGCGTGCGCGCAAGGCGCGAGAATGCGTGACTAGAAATTGGTTAGCTTTTGAATATGCAAAGAGATTGACCTTTATGCGTTAAATAGTGTGAAGTGCGAGAAAGGTGCGCGCGCGAGGCGCACAGGCGTGGGAATATTGCGCGCGCGCAAGGCGCGAGAATGCGTGACTAGAAAATGATTAGCTTTTGAAATGCAAAGATATTGACCTGTATGCGCGAAATGCGCGGAACTAGATCTTGCTGACTGCTCCCCTCGCGGTGGGCTCCAGTTGTAGAAACAACAATACAATGAGGAACAAGGATGCTCCTAACTGTATCTATAAAATGTTGTGAGGTCGCGCGTTACCTAGTCTGCTATTCTTGAGGAGACAAGTGCGTTCGACCCTAGGGGAAGCGAGTGCTGCGAAGATCTAGAGGTACGCGCTTCAGCGAAGCGTGAGAAAGCGCAAGTGCGCGCAAGGTACGAAGGCGCGGGAACGCGCGCGCGTATTAGCGCGAAGCGCGGGAAAGCGCGCGCGCGTAAGCGGAAATAAAAGAGACTAAGCTTAAGTGATGATATAAAGCAATATAAGAAAAGATAGATGCAAAGTGTAGACCAATAGACTTCTACTATGTACTGCTAAGTAAATAGTGGGTGATAACTAGTAAGTTCAAGGGAAAAGTAAGGTGTGAAAGGTAAATCAGTAATAGTATGTACTGCTGGCGCTTATATAGCGCGCCTAAGCGCGGTCATGCGGAGCCGAAGCGCTACCGAGTAGGTATGTAAAGATATATATAAGTGAGAATTCATGATAAAAATAAAGGTGGAATGATATGCTAATAAAAGAAATGGAAATATACGCACTAGAGGGCTTGGTGGACAGTGGATGGATGCTTCTGGATGGCTGGCGCTATAGGGCGCGCAAGCGCGGGAACGCGCGCGCGCGTATACATCGCGAAGCGCAGGAATGGTGCGCGCATGGCGCGCATTGCGCGGGAAAGCTGCGCCTCATATAGGAATTGCTGTGGACAGTACACAGAGTGGTGCTGCGAGTTGGTGCTGTATACTCCCTTAGTGGAAACTGTCATATCACGCCATGAGAGGCATGAGTCTCTACACCGGATCATCAGGTACCCATCTCCGAGTGATCCCGAGTTTGACTTCAAGCTCCTGGACGACCTTCAAATCCTTATCGTAGTTCTCGATTGTGTGTCTCCGCACAGTCTCATTCCTCGTCGTTGAAGTGACGTTGTGGGCCCCAAACTGTACGGTTCTCGGCGTGGACACTGCCCAAGCCATAGACGCGGCATCAAGATCTTTTCTAAGTGAACCTTGTTAGCTCATGCATGAATCAACACAGCAGATACACACCTGCTCCCAGACAAGTTCACCAGCCTCTGCCAATATTCCATGTGGAGCGTCTCATGTTCCGGTGTAGAGACTCGCGCGTCTCAATGACGAAATATCCGGCCTTTAACCATACATTCCTATATGTTACAGCTCTACTCCTAAGGACCAGTCTCGCGCGAACTCGCGCGCGCCTTATGCGAACTCGCGCGCACTTAGGCGCGCCTTACCTACGCACGCGCTATGCACGCTTCGCGCGCCTCCTCATAGGTCTTCGCGCTATCGTCCGTCCATCCGTCCCATGTCCTTACTGATTCGCTGGTGCGTTATTTCTATCTTATCCATTGAACTAATAAAATCTTCGGTCCGACATCCGCGCTACTTATGGAAAGTTTATTTAAACTTAGTTATAATTAGAGTTGATATGGTTACTCGGTTCGGGAGCGCGCTCGGAAGCGCGCCTTCTCCATTCTTAAATACAGAAGGGTTTCCTTTGGTTCTGGTACTTACTTTTCCCTTATCTTTGTGTACTGGAAAGTGAATAGATCACCTCCCCACTTGTTATCTGATCATATCCTCCTGTCAATCCTCCACCTTTGCACTCACTCCTCAGTAAGATCTTGCCTCTAACGCTTTAGGCGCGCCTTCGCTTCGCGCGCGCATATTCTCGGACCTCCCGCTCACGCGTGCATCTCGCGCGCCTTATCTTCTCGCGCCTATTAGCGCCCGCCTAGCTCACAGAGTTTCCCTCCACTTTATTTCGAGGAACTTCTCTCAGTGGTTGTCCTTTGGGTCGAGTCGTTGTCTCGTATCCCGGTCTTGCTGTTGAGCACCCCTTTAGTTTTAAGTGTTTTCACGTATAGTCAAGATTCCTCATCTACACCGGCTCCTGCATGAGGGACATTAGATAGCTGCGTTCCTCGGCCAGCCAAGCGTCGAAAACGTTGTCGTCTGTGACACCGAGCTCGGCCATCAGTTTGGGTAGTGTTGTGTGGGCGTCATGGAGCACATTGAGTGCCTGCTTGTAGTTGTTATATAGGAATGTAGCTAACAATTGATCAAATATTAGTGCTGTGTCCTACTTGCTATTGATGTGATGACTTACTAAGGTTCGAATACACTTCAAAATCATCGTTGTGTCGAAAATAGTTGGCAATGGCTTGTTGCCGGTAGAAGATACTGGCATAACGAACAGATGCTGCCAGTGCATTGGACTTGGAGAAAATGTGTTCGCACCCTTCGAGATCTTCAAGTCCGAGTCTGTCAATGTAGGTGGTGAGATGATCAAGTTGACAAAGGCATCGGTGAGTGTGTCGGTGAAAAGCTCCAACAAGGGAAGTGTGGTTGAGATCGTGTGCATGGCATCCCAGAGAACTCCGGCTGAGTGTAGTCTTGAACCTGCAGCCGACATCGTAGCCACCACCCAAGTCCTTACCGAACGTATCCAGTAGTTTTGAGACCACCGCCAGAGGGTATTTGGATCTATAAGTCAAATCAGCGAGCAAAAAATAAAAAACAAAACTACTTACTGTTCGCTGCTCTGCACCATGTCAGCGATCAGAAGCGAGAAGCCGTGACGACAGGCAGACATGAAGATCCCAGATTCATCAAACACACCCCACATCTTCCTCGTCTTCTCGTCCCTCATATTCTTCCATCGTCCCGCACATGGATTGTCCTAAACACCAGGTAAGCAAGTAAGTAAACAAAGTAGGCATGAAGAAAGACTTACCTCATCTTCATCTGCCATCATATCTGCTGGTGAGTCGGCCACAAACTGATCTACAAACTCCCTTGACAAATACCGGTCACCTCGAACCACCTGCATAGAAGGGAGTTTGGCAGAGCGTGGAGGCGCGTTGTCATTGTCATTGTCTGAGTCAAGCTTTTTTAAAACTCGCTTCAGCGAATCATTGCCGTCCATAGTGTAGAGTAGGCTGAATTTCAAAGGTACTTCACCTTTGAGCGTGTATGTACATGCCGGACATGCGTGCTTGAGGTGCCAAATTGGATCAGAGCGGCTGATCGCTTGGTGAACCAGTGAGTCAACATTAGCGAGAAGGTGTAAGTAAACATCAAGTGCAATGGAAAATTGACGTGACAAGTATGGATAGAATTGAACCTGGTATAAAGCAAGGTTGAGACATTAAGTACAAGGAAAAAATGAGGTACACACACCTTGCAGGTCACATAACGTCCTCACATAGGCCTGAATTGAGAAATGCGGGTTGTGCTGACGTGCGATCCGATAGAAATTGAGGGCCTCCATTGTTATTGCGGTTGTTGGGCTGATAGGAGAACAAGGGATGATGCCTTGGCGTACGAGCGCAGACACGATGAAGGCATCTGTTGAAAGAATACCAAACGGTATTCTTTCAGCGTCTAATGTACGTCAGCAATCCGTAGCCAGTACATCATCAGAAGCTCACAAAATACATCTACTACCTTTATCGCAATCGACCCATTCATGTCTTGAACGTCCGAGTAGCGAGAAAAGAAACCTCGCCTGTCCAACGTGCTATGAACAAGGTTCCAGTCCATGTACGTGTCTGTCAGTGCTGACATTTGGGTGTCATAGGCCTGTGTACGGCGCCTAGTCCTGTCACGTCTGGTCCTGTAGTCCGTGCGACGATTACGAGACTTTCCTGTGTTTCTAGCATGGAATGTTTTGATACGGTAAGTCTCAACAACTGATTATGATGTCGCAAGATCAACTCACATTTTCCAGAAGTCACCCACAAGTTTTCGAGTGAGTTCTTGTAGCTCACCGCCTGCATGGCTAATATCTATTGGCTCAGAGCCATCCAGGACGTTTGCACTGAAGTCGTCATCCCCGTTGAACCCACATTCACTGAAGTCGGAAGCATTGCGACTTTGTCGCAATGCTTCAAGGGCACACTTTTCCTCTGTGCTCAGTACTATGTAAGTGTGTTAGTTTTTTTTTGATCCCTGATCGCACTAACAAAATAAGTTGTTTGCCAGTGCGTACCTTTCATTCAGCTCTTCTTGCGCATGCTTACACCTGCTGCTCGTTCAGCAATTTGTTTTGAACCTAGGACTTCCTGTCGAGGATGAAGACCCTGATTGATGGGATCTCGGTGGGATATGACATGGCAAATTTTCTGCGAGGTGAGTCCTGTGTGATTTTTGGGTCGTTTGTTGAGGTGCCTGGGTGCCATTGTTTTTTTAGAGTTGAGAAACGTCTTGCCCACGTGACAGCACAGACTTAACGATTTCTGACAGCGAAGACTGATACCTCCATCATGAGCTCCCGGTCAACACAAGGTAAGCACACCACTTACTTTTTTTGTTTTCTCATTATCAAATTTTCTAGATCTACGGCATCTGCAGCCGTTGGTGACTCGCACTTGGACCAACCGGACGATGCAGACACAGTCCGAGCGAAAGACAATGCGGACCAAGATAACTGGGGGTGCCACGGAGACCGAGATGATTAAGGAGAAAACTCGGACGACAGACAGAGAGTCAACACAGAAGATCACTGGTCCAGTAAGTGCGTTTGTGAATGACCCGCACACAATGTACTGATATCAAATATAGCCTGATCTCCCCATCTTAAATGCTCAAGTCGCACAGCCCCCATCACAACCTCCTTCATCACCCACGGAGTCTGCTTTACTCAGTTCGGTCACTCAAGATGCTCCAGAGACGCCTCCTTCCTCACCCTCTTCTACATCCCACTCAAGTGATGATTTGTGGGCTCAAGTGGAGGACTTATCAGGCCTTATAAATGGAATAGATTTAGGCACTTGAGTTCTTATATACAATGTAGCTTTGATCTTTGAAAATGCTATCAAATCGATACGAAAATTGTTCCGTCGATATTCATTCCTTGTATATGCACTCAAGTTTGTGTCCTGAAGTGTGGCTGAATTTCATGTCTGAATAACAGCAAAATCAGTTAGCGCAAACTGTCAGTCACATCCAATCTATGCTTCTACTTTGCAACAACACGAACTATGCATCCCAAGTACAAAACTTCAGAGGAGTGCAGAGAAGCTCGACTTAAAACTAAGAAGGAGAACTATGCACGGTGATTTTGTTCAGTTCTCATCACTTCGGCACTGACTCAATACATTCCTAGTCGCCGAGTCCAAGAACAAGCAAAGTCCTGCACACGATGGCGACGTCATAGAGGAGCAGCTATGGTAAGCACTCAGTTGAAATCTACACACATATCTCACCAATGTCTGCACTTAGAATACTCAAGATCTTCTTCAGCGCCTCAATGATCTATGGTTAGATCTAGGTTATCGTGGTGGCACTCTCCAATGCGAGTTCTTGGAATCGCACGGGTTGTCTATTGTGATGGAGGTCGATCAAGAGGGTTGGGATTCAGTCAAACCGCAATGTGATGCAAGGATTCTCCTCCAGCAAGCATTAGACCTGCGTACTGCAGCCTGTGATGCCAGCGGGCCACTCACAGATCAATTACGGGACAGAATAGTATCTGCCATGGACACAGTAGGTTTGCATGTCCGTGCATTGGAAGAGCTGTTGTCGTTGATGGACGTTGGAGTGGATACTTACTTTGATGCCCTTCGTTATGGTTCACTCGTCTGGCAAGGTCCCAAATAATGTAGATTAGCAAGGTCATGATATTCAATTCAAATTAAAAAAAAGTCTGAGCCAAGAATACAAAATCTACCGAGAAACATCAAAAGATGCATAGATGAGTGCCAGGCATCTAGTAGGGGCAATAAGTCGGCTGACCGTTTGATCGCTGGTCCTTGTGAATTGATTAAAATTTAATTTCATAGCGTGAGTTAACTGACCTTAGTGATACTCGAGCGAGCATTAAATATTGAGAGTTGGAGGTAAGGGCAGTAATACTTAGCACTGCACAACACCACCATTGTGGCTGTGCATGGACAGTACTCCTCCAGAGTACTGTGCACAGCCACTTAATGGTGGTGTTGTGCAGTGCTAAGTATTACTGCCCTTACCTCCAACTCTCAATATTTAATGCTCGCTCGAGTATCACTAAGGTCAGTTAACTCACGCTATGAAATTAAATTTTAATCAATTCACAAGGACCAGCGATCCAATGTGCAGTGCTAAGTATTACTGCCCTGGCGGCCTTGCCTCCAACTCTCAATATGGGAGTACTGTGCACAGCCACATTGACAATGTGGTGGCATTGCCGCTGGTACGCACGGAAGCAAATGTTCGAATTAGTAAGTCAGTCTTGTTAAACCGTCAGTAGTATAGTCCCCTCTCTTGATCTTCTGCTGGGCCTGAGTTGGGTTCATCACAGGGTTGATATTCGAGGCCTGGTTCATGTGAGGGTTGATGTTGCTGCTGGCATTTATTGGCCCGGGCATGATGCTAAGGTGCACGTTTAAATTCATGGAGTGTTGGTTTGGATTAACATTTGGAACACCCATGCCGCCGTACGTAGGAAGCACCTGGTAGAGAGGATGGTGAGAGCATCAGGCCAGAGTCAAGGTTATGATGGGAGTGATGTGGAGCAAATGGAAGTGGATGAAGAGGGGTGGTTTGAGAGATGTCCTGTGGCTCTGCTGGAAGATGGCACGATCTTGCGCCAATACCTGCGCCAAACGCTGAGGCATCATGTTCATGCGTACCTGAGGGTTGCTGAGGTTTGGCATACCACTCATCATATTGGACATGTCCATGTACCCACTCATTTTCTGCATACTGGCAGGCATGTTCAAAGGAGCTGTGCAAGTGTCAAATTATGTGCCCTCCGCTCTGCCATGACAGGTGAGTTTTCAAAGCACCGTCCCTCTGTCCGACCAAAGTTCTTACATGTTGTTGACATGCTTTCGCCGTGCGCAAGCACGTGACTTCCAGGTCCTAGAATCTGGTCAAGGTAAGCAATTAATTTTTGTGATTCCATTGACAGTCGTTGCCCTCTTGTTTTCACTGATTTTTTAATTCAGCTTTGCACAATGGACTTGCCAAATTTTATGTTCCCACCTGACTTCAACTTCCAGTGTAGCGGCTCTGTGCAAGGTAAGTAGCCAAATTCATTGTTCGACTTATAAAAATTCTAATATACATCCTAGGGAATGGCAACACTAGCGCAGATTACCCTCCATCCCCTTCCATGATGGCCAGACATCCGTTTCATGCAACCTTCCCATATTCCCAGTCATTCGATAGCAGAATCGATTGGGATGACCCATTGTTATACCAGTCTGTCCCATCACTGTCCGATCTGCTTAATGAGTGCCACGACACACGGTGTAGAAACAACGATACTGAGAGGAACTAATGAGGCTCCTAACTGTATCTAAAAATGTTGAAGGTCGTGCGTTGCCTAGTCTGCTATGCTTGAGATGACAAGCGCGTTCGACCCTAAAGGGGAAGCGAGTACAGCGAAGATCTAGAGGTACGCGCTGAAGCGAAGCACGAGAAAGCGCAGGTGCGCGCAAGGCGCGGGAACACGCGCGCATATTAGCGCGAAGCATGGGAAAGTGTGCGCGCGTATGCGGAAATGATAGATAGACTAGACTTAAGTGATAATATGATGCAAGAGATGTGAGAGTGCAAGATGTAAAGGAATAGAGTTCTATTGCGACTTTCTAGGTAGTAAGTACTGGGTAAAGTGAGAGGTGAAGGTAAAAGTAAAGTAAAGTGAAAGGTAGGAAAAGTCAGTTTTAAAGTAAGTAGTACTATGTACTGCTGGCGCTTATATAGCGTGCCTAAGCGCTGTAATGCAGAGCCGAAGCGCTACCGAGTAGGTATGTAAAGATATATATGAGTGAGAATCCATGATAAAAATAAAGACGGAACAATATGCAAATGAGAGAAATAGAAATATACACACTAGAGGACTTGGAGGACAGTGGATGGCTGGCGCTATAGGGCGCAGAAGTGTGGGAAAGCACGTGCGCATATACATTGCGAATGGTGCGCGAGAAAGCTGCGCCTCATAGTGGAATACCTGCGGATAGCACACAGAGTGATGCTGCAAGTTCGTGCTATGTACTCCCTAGTGAAAAGTGTCATATCAGACCATGAGACACATGAGTCTCTACAGCGGGACACGTTGCTACCTCCTGCCCCTCAAAATAACGCATCAGACACGTCCCACGCCGTCAATGCATCGTGGGATGCGTCTCAACAGACCACTCTACCCACTGGACATGAAGTTTTAGACACGAACTGTGCCATCAACACGTCTCAACAAGCTACTCTACCAGCTGGACGTGAAGTGGTGAATTTGAATGGTGCGGGTCTCCATCACATCACTTCAGATTACTAACACATCATTTCAGACCACTCAGGACAGCAGGACAACAACGAGGAGGCACCACTCAACTCTCATGTGGAGACTGGCACATCAGAAGTCCCTGCTGACGCGAACAACTCATCATGGGCTGCTAGGAATCCAGATCAGCCTGTTCTGATGTCTCGAGCCCCTCTTAACGCTGCGCAGAAAGCACAAGCCAATGCACAAAGAGCATCACGAAAAATTTCAGCTGCACAATGCAAGGGGACTGAAGACGCGCTCACTGGTGCCATCCAATGGCTACTTGCTGGGCAAAATGACAGGATCGAGGCCATCGCGTCCGAACATGGCGTCACTCAAGACAAGGTGAATAAGCTTATGGGAGGTGAAAGGTACTACAAAAAAGGGAGTCAAAATACGCAACTCGCCAATGCGTTGATACATGCAAAAGCGCAAGAGGTCAATGCAGGTTAGTCATGTGCCTCGAGACATTTGTGTGTATCAATGTTAATGAAACAATAGATCGTCCTCGTGGCGCCAAGTATTCACTTGATGAGATTCGAGAAATAGTCAAGGCGGACAAGAGTATGCAAAACCTAGTTCATGAGGAGCAGCAAGAATATACCACCAAACTCAATGAACACCGTGCCCTCCAGAACATGAGTATTTGCGCAACAAACACTGTAGCAGCCTGATGTTAGATAATGTCTTTAAGATGGTGGGTTCAATGCAGCACTTTGTTTAATGTTAGTTAACTGTTCTATAGCTTGATGGTCTCGCCCTTCGAACTGGAATCTACACCTGCCTCTTTGCCTCCCGTGGACATGTGTACGATACCATGCAGGCAACTGTGGTTCGGCACAGATAATGTCATGGACTTTTGAGAAGATGTCCTTCAAACAGAGGCTGACGAAATCATGCGGAAATTGGAACAATGGGCATGTATGGCAGGTCGAAGTATGTTTTTCCTGTTTTTTTCTTTTGTTTGTAGATATTCTAATTCACTTAGACCTCGACGAACGTGAGACGGTACAGAATATGCAACGTGTTTGTACCTGACTCCTCAATTCTGGGCTAAGTACTTTTTTTTGCTCCGTCACACCAGCACAATCACTAACTACTGCAATTTTAGGGACTATTGCTAAGTGGCGTGACATTTGCATCAACTACACTAATTTTGATATTGCCATGAAGGATAAACTCGCAATTGATCTCAAGGGCTGGCCTGAGGGTGTGCCGTTCCAGTCCCCCACCAGTATAAATGACCTCAAGGCCTTATTGAAGGTCCATGATGCGCTGAAGGATGGATCGTGCCTGCTGGTATCATATGTCCCCACGTCAATGGGAGGACTATGCTGCCGAACTTGCAGCATGCCGAAAGAAAGGAGAAGTTATTGGCAAGCCATGCAAGAAGCGCACTGATGCTGGTGTGCCATGCAAGCGCAAGGGAAAGGAGAACGCACCTCTGAGAAAGCGAGTACGAGCTGCAGGCTCATCCATGCAGGCTCCAAAGAGCGTAGAATACATAGACACGACTGACGAGGACACAAGTGAGGAGGAGGTTTAGTTGTTTAATTCACATTAATGTAGCACACATAAGGCCCACATGTGACCCAATACTAGTTCATATGTTCATTCTCTACCTGTTCAAAAAAAGCCTGGCTCCAATTGATGGATATGGTGGCAAGATACTCGAGCTTGGTGGTGACATGGCTCTTTGGCTGCCGGCGGTATTTCTATTAATGGACGGATACATTAAAATAACTCCCAGGCACACCGGGAGCAAGTTGCCGAAGATGCCGAGGCTCTATACTACCCCCCTACGCTAGCAGTAAGTATTTGCTACACTCAAAGGCTTTGAATTATTGAGTAATTATTCATTTGGGTGGCTACAGCTAATTGCCAGTCGAATAAGACCTGCCATCATGCCCAGCTGTCATGTCTAATTAGCTTGTGTACGTGGGAACATCAGGTGTGTGGCACTGGCTTGAAGCCTGGCTTTAGCTGAAACTGAAATGCGGCTGGCCAAGCCACACCTGTGGTTCCCACATACCTGATCTAATTAGACTTGACAGCTGGGCCTGATGGTGGGTCTAATTAGAGTCATTTACAGCTGTACGCACCCAAATGAATAAATAGTCGATAAAGGAGGGTCTTATAAGTGCTACTGAAGCCTCTTAGGTGGTGTAGGTATGTATGGGGGCCTCGGCTATATCTGTTCCTGCCTCAGCCGTTGTACCCGCATACCTCAGAACTAATATTAGACAGCATGACTATATTTGGATGCCGGCAGCCCCCGGATAATTGTAACCGAGCCACATCAGTGCCCAAACCTTTGTGCTCGCTGTGCACGACAGCCAGCTCATCTATCTCGCTAAAGTATGTACGGATTTCAGCTGTATTTTCATATATAGTTAGTCAATGCGAATTGTAATCAATATAATGTATACTAAGGGACATGATGGTACTAAAGCCATACAAAAAAGACAACTAAGCTTCATCCTCACTGGTGTACTCCTCGTCAGATGAGTCTACAAACTCTGCACTCTTCGGGGCCTGCACGGATGACCCAGAACCTCGTACACGCTTGCTCTGGCATTTGTTCTCCTTTCCCTTGCATTTACGGGGTACTCCAGCATCAGAACACTTCTTCCAAGGCTTGCCAATGACTTCTCCTTTCTTGCGGCATGCAGTGAGCTGCAGGTTGTACTCCTCTCGTTGATGCGGTGACATGTGGAACCAACGGCAAGAGCTGTCCTTCAACGAATTCCGGAGCTTCAGGAGGGCATTGAGATCATTGATACTGGTGGGGGATTGAAATGCCATGTCCTCAGGCCAACCCCTTAGATTGATGCCAAGCTTCTCCTTGATGGCGGTATCAAAGTTGGTATAGTTGATATGGATGTCCCGTCGCTTTACTATAGTCCCTTAAAATACGCCAGTCAGTAATGGCATCAGTGTGATATTTTTAAAAAATTACTTAGACCTGAATTGAGGAGTCGAGTGCAAACACATTGCATGTTTTGCACGGTCTCGCGTTCATCGAGGCCTGGCATGTAAAAGTCAGTAAATATATATATAGATGTGAGACGAGACTCACTCCGACCAGTCATGCATGCCCATTGTTCTAATTTTTGTGTGATTTCGTCAGCCTCCATTTGGACAACATCCTCCCAGAAGTCCATGATGTTGTCAGTTCTGAACCATGTTGCCTCTGCAGTGTCATACACATGTCCACATGAGGCGAAGAGGCATGCATAGATTCCTGTTCGGACAGCAAGATTATCAAGCTATACGTTCATTAGTTAGATGTCCATTGTCACACAATATAAGACCTACCATCTTGAAAATGGTGTCCAAAGTAGACTGAACATTGTGTGCTGCCACAGTGTTAGTTGCATGAATACTCATATGCTGGAGTACACGATGCTCATTGAGCTTTTGAATATATTCTCGCCGATCCACATGGTTCAAGTTTTGCATATCTTCATCGTCCTTGACCATCTCACAGATTTTGTTAAGTGAGTACTTGGTGCAGCGCGGTTGATCTGTTGCTTCAATCAGAATACATGATGACGCCTGAAAATTGAAATGACTCACCTGCATTTACTTCCTGAGCTTTTGCGTGTACCAGAGCATTAGCAAGTTGTGCATTTTGATTGCCTTTGTAGTGCCTTTCGCCTCCCATAAGCTTCTTCACCTTCTCCACGGTGATACCATGTTCGATAGCAAGATGGTTAGTCTTTTCCTCATGCTCAGAGAGAGCTTTTTGAATGGCCATGTGCAGGGCATCTTCCGCCTCCTTGCGTTGCTGAGCCGAAATCTTACGCGATGCTCTCTGCACATTAGAATGTCCCTTCTGCATCACATTGAGAGGTGCTCGAGGAACCAGCACTGGTCTGCTAGGGTTCCTTGCAGCCCACAACAAATTATTGGCTTCAGGAACCATTTCGCTGGCACATCCTCGCACAATGGTGCCAGTGTCCTGGGTCGTCTCATGACGATTGTCGGTGTTGGATGTCGATTCATTACGTGAGACAGGAGGGATGTCTGGAGGGATGTCATGTGCGTCCAGAAGATTCTGGTGAGTGGATGAATGGTGGGTTCTGTCCTCACTGTTGGACAGTGAATCATCACTTGCAGACTCATTGTGCATGCTGTGGAGACTGGGCATGCTGGGGGTGTCGTGTTGGATGACCGAGTTTTGGAACATAGAAGTATCTTCAGTATCACGTTGTTCTAGGAAGTGATGTAGGGAGGGCAGTGGGGGGTAAAAGGCTGGGTCTGACAAGGAAGCGAACATATAGGGATCAATGTTATTGAATAGATTTTGCAAGTAGGCAAGATTTGGGTCAAGCTGTGAACCATGCATAGCTGGTGGGATCACGTTGGCTGAGTGATCCATTGGGTAGAACTGAGGGTATGACGGCACTTGGTGTCCACGTCCAGGAGTCTTGTACAAGTCTAATATGAGTGAGTATTAAAATTGTATGCAAGTCAATCTACTTACTCAGTGGACAACTCTGGTTACTGTCATCTAAGCCGGACAGATGACCAGGTGGGTCAGGAAATACAAAGTTCAAGTCGTCCATAGTATAGAGATATCACACTGGCTGCACAGGAAAACCCACGGCCGAGCGATGAAAAAAATTACGCTGACACTCTGAATCACATTAATTTTATGATGAAAATAAATTAAAAATATTAACCGTCGTCCTGAGGCGTTGAAGGTATCTGAATCATGTGCGCATCAACTCCCCCTGAGAAGGCGATGTCCAGATGGCTTGCACTCAAGGACATGCACTGGAAAGTAACCATACCGAAAGATAAACTAATCATTTAAGTTTTAATGAAATGAGGCACATACCAATGCGACAACGAGGGACTGTTGTGCGCTAAATTCTTTACATCAGTGGATGAGAAGAATCTCTAGACTACATTGACTCACAGTGGCCAGCAAAACCTCATTGAAAGAATTATGGGTGTATTTGAGCAGAGATAATCATCACTGATGCAGAACTAGGCCACAGTTAGCAATAGCACCTCGAATGTCAGTGTAGCGTAGAATCTCACATGGACCAAGTCATAGTCAACTTGTGGCGTCACTGGCGTGTGTCTAGCGCTCGTTAGTCGAAAGACATCCACACGGTCCTGGCAGCGAAACCAATCACCAAACTCCACTAACTCCACATTATGGGTAGACGAGAGATGTACAAACCAACTAACCATGAACTATAAGCATTGACATGAGGTTCACATGTGCTTCACTTACTCGCAAGTAGTACTTCAGTATTTCAGCCAAACACTTTACATAATGAAATGAACTGTGAGTTTGGTTCTGTGCTGGCGGTACACGCTGAACTGTGGAAACTAACTTCCGAATCAATGTGCTTTGCACCATCCTATGTCCAAGTCCATCCAAACTAACTTAGGCTTTTCTGCTGTGCGTTCCAAGGCTGATTCCCTTGTTGTTACCTTCAACTCGAGCAACACCAAGTCACTCACAATGGAAGGTACACACTAACTTCTGCTTCCTGCACACCATCTTATATCTAAGTCCATCCAACTTAGGCTTTCTGCTGTGCATTTCCAAGGCCGGTTCCCTTGTTGCGCACCATCCTATATCCAAGTCCATCCAACTTAGGCTTTCTGCTGCGCATTTCCAAGGCCGGCTCCCTTGTTGTTACCTTCACCAAGTCACTCACAATGGAAGGTACACACTTTCAACTTGAAATGACACCAAATCACTCACAAAAACTTAGAAGGTATGTACTCTCAACTTGAATGACACTGAATCACTCATAAAAACTTGTAAGGTATGTACTTTCAACTTAAACGACACCAAGTCACTCACAAAAACTTAGAAGGTAGCTACTTTTCATTTGAATGACGAATGACACCGAGTCACTGACACCATACTGTATCCTCAGTATCTATGTCTTTGACTGATTATTGGTCGCTTGTGCTATAAATTTCTTTTATTGATGTTCTTTGGGTGTGAAATAATGCTATTGTCTACTGAATGTGCATTATGTGGTTCTTTGCCAGATCAGTGAACCATAGCAAAGGGCATCAAAGTACGTATCGACTCCTAATTCCATCATTGACAACAACTCCTCCCATGCATGAACATGCAAATCTACTGCATCTACAATAGATGCGATTCCCTCCTGCAATTGATCTGTGAGAGGCCCCTCAATATCACGGGCCTCAGTGCGCAAGTCGTGTGCTTGTTGAAGCACATGCTTCGCCTCTGCAAGGCCTGCCTCGCATCCCGGCTTGACTGAACCCCAACCCTCTTGGTCTACCTCATTCATGATTGACAGCCCAACACTTCCAAGAATTCATGTTGGAAAGTACTGCTGCAGTAGCCTAAACTGAACCATAAGTTATTGAGACGCTGAAGAAGGCTTTGAGTATCCTAAGTGCAGGCATTACTGGTGACATGCACATGAATGTTGAGTGAGAACTTACCACAGCTACTCCTCTACAGCATTGCCATCGTGTGCAAGACTTGACTTGTTCTTGAACTCGGTGACTAGAAGTGTATTTGTATTAGGCTGGTGAGGCGAGAAGAATTGAGAGCAATTTACCATGCGTAGCTCTCCTTTGATTTTAGTCGAGCCTCACGACGCTCCTCTGCAGTTTCATACTTGGGACTCATGATGTATGGTGGTTGTGTTTGTTGAAGAGAGATGAACAGAACAAGTTTCTCGTCACACGAAAGTTGCGAGTATTTAAAATGTGTTATTTTGAAACGAAATTCAGCCACACTTCGGGACAGAAACTCAAAGCAAGTATTTGGATACAGCATGATATGAATCGAATGAGTATCACTTAGCGTTATTTTGATCTTTATCATCAGCCAGTATGCGAGACGAGAGATGCAACATCAAATTATATTTTTGTAATGCGTAGGTGACATTTACAATAGAATACAGCTTGCAGGCATAGAATTATCGTAATGCATTGACGGCTACACCATAGATCCTTCAGAGGTACAAACAGTATTCAAAACGTAGTATTGTATTCTACATGCCCTCCTCTACTCATCTTGACTCAAACTGATGCCATCCAAATATTCAGACAGATCTTCGACTTGGGCCCATAGTTCATTGCTTGAACTTGTCTGAGTTGGGGAACTCAGGGAAGAAGGAAATGTTTCGACTTCGAGGTGTTGAGTACTGGAGGCCGAGGACTGTGTTGATTCGGTTAGGGAGGGAGCCGATCCTTGTGGAGTCTCTATTGTGGTGTTCAAGATGGGGAGGTTTGACTGCCGATGTGTGAGATTCAGTGCAGAGTTAGAATGACTAGATAATAGTACTCACAGGCCTGGTTATTGTCTGGGTGGTGTCAGAGTCAACAGTGCGAATTCTCTCCTTCACAGTCTCAGTCTCCATCACATCAAATGTTGTCTTGGTGTGTGTGATGGTTCGGTCAGAATGAGACCACACAGTACAGCTGGTCCATGTGCGAGTTACGGTCTTGATGTGCTGGCGATTCTGCGGAGCAGCAGAATCTGAGAATATTAGTCATCATAAAGCAAAGGAGGGGGGTTTAAACACACCTCGTGTGGTAGCAGTACCATTGTTGCTCATTGTGCAACTGATATAGTAGGCTAGAATTCAGATCAGATCCCAAGGTTGAGCAACGAATGGAATCACGTGCATAGTACATGATTATTATGGGTATCCTTACTTTAAAAATATGAAAAATATATCTATGGCACAAGGACATGTAAGCAAACATCCAAAAAATCGGACAGGACTCACCTCCCTGAAAATCAAGCATGTAATATTGCACCGAGACCCAAACCATGGACTACGTCCAGTGTGGGAGTCACTGGGACCAAGACAGATAGCAGCGCATGCAGCAGAAGTACACCTCCGCAAAAAGTCTCGCATGCAAGGTACATTTCATCAGTAGAATTGAACTCACCTCACTCTGGGAAGCAACGACACTGGAGGAAAAACGTGCTCTTGAGGCGCTGCAGGAACATAATTGAGATGACCATTTTGATGACAATGGTGATTTCAGCTCTAGCATCCTGGATGGATCCGAGCCAGTTGATATCAGTCATGCTGGCGGTGAGTTCTATGAACTTAAGAGAGAGATGATGGGTGATTTCTGGAATGTGTAAGTCACATGCATATCTCAAGCAGTTGTTTAGAACTCACCAGAAACACTTGAAGGTCCTCCTGGGCACGACACCTGGACTACAGGACAAGGTGCGATAGAACACGATGCCATACCGAGGCATTTGACAACCAAATGCCAGCATTAATACGCGCATACCTTGACTGGCACCTAGTCAATAGAGCTACTGGTGGCCAAGGCTTCTTTTCACACTGCGCTGCTGCTGCCCGTCAAGGAACCATACCAGATATCAATGCTGGAGCGATTACAATCAAGGTCGTGGACATGTTCTGTGAGTGTGAATTTGAATGACGTCACGATACCATACTTCTCTGATGCTGACATATACATAGACACTGAGAAGGTTCCTTTAACAATACTCACTACTGACTTCTTCATAGCTTCAGCACTCATTTGTCAAGGAATCGTACCCTGCTCCCCAATCAGTCCATCTACAGGCGTGACTATAGAGTCTCTCAACTTTTACTGCATTGCCCATCAATGCAACCCTCATTTTTTGATTCAGGCGTATGTAAAGATGATGTGCAACTTGCAAGGGGTAAGTTCTATAATTACACTTCAATTGTTCTAAGTTCTAACATTGTTTCATCTTAGGTTCAATTTTACTTGTACCTCTCACAGCAATTTTCAATAGCGCTCGATGTATACCTTCAGATTCTCACCAACGTCGATACTCTACTCCACAAAGCAATTGGGCGACAGGACCCCAACTGGTGTTTAAAGCATTGCTGTCCAGCATGCATATACACTCTTCAAGATGAAGATTCATTAAAATTCAAAATTCTTTTCACTATGGATGGTAATGATTCCCTCAAGCGAGTATTGAAAAGGTTGTCACACGATTCAGATTTGGACAACTTGGATGGCATGGAAAGCAGGGTAATGCAGCGCTCCTCTGATCTACCCACCATGCAATGTGTTCACGGTGACCGTTACTTGTCCAGGGAGTTTGTTGAGTCATTCAGATCTAATGATTTATCGATGGATATGCTGGGAGGCAACGATGAGGTGAGTCCTGCTTTCCATTTTTTTTGTTCATTGCTCAAATTCTCATTAGGACAATCCTTGTATTGGACAATGGAAAAACATGCGGGACGACAAGACAAAGAGGATGTGGGGCGTCTTCAACGAGTCCGGTATTTTTTTGGCTGTCTGTCGTCATGGCTTTTCCCTCCTCATAGTAGACATGATTTGGAGTGGTGAACAGTAAGTTGTTTTTGGTGTATTCGTTCTTCACTCGCTGATTCTACCTCTAGGGTGAAATATCCTCTAGCCATCCTCTCCAAGCTCTTAGATGTCTTTGGGAGGGACTTGGGCAGCGGCTATGATATTGGATGCCGGTTCAAAACCACCCTCCATCACAGCATCTTAGGACAATGTGCTCGTGAACTCAACTACACATCCCTCATTGGCACCTTCCATGGACATGCTCACTGATGGCTCTGTCAACTCGACCGCCTCGCCACATATGTCAAAGGCCTCAGACTCGAAGACCTCGAGGGTTGTGAGCGAACTTTCTCAAAATCAAACGCACTCGCTTCCTCTGTGCAATACGCGAGTGCCTTCCACTGCTGTCAGACGATCACGCATTATTTTCAGCACAATGACAAATTCGAAATATATGCAAACCTTAGTAAGCAATTTAAATTTCTTCACCCGCAGAAGTGCTAATCTTAAACACGAATCTCTAGCAACCTTTCTCTACAATAACTACAAGCAGGCTCTTGGCATCCTCCATGATGGTCAGCAGACTTTGCCCAAACTCATGCATGAACTTGGCGTGATGGACGAAAGTGTCTTTGATGTTTGGTTGGACGAAGAGCGCAATTATCTGCTGTCACTGAGTCATGAGCCCAAACACGAGACCCTCCAAATGGAATATGGCAGAAGTTGGTAAATTTGTCTGCTAGCAAGTATGTTAATGTATTTGATTACTTGGTCTATACTAATGGGATTCAACTAGGATGGAGCTCAACGCTGCAAGTGCGGCATGGTCTGTTTCAACACCAAGTACCATGTGCATTCGGAGCTCGTGATGTTGGGTCCACTGCTAGGATCGAGACTGCACGACAACACGCAATCGAAAACTACAAGAAGGACTTGAAGATGGTCCAGGAACTCGAGGGAAAGCTTGACATCAGTCGTCGATGGGTACCCGAAGACCAGGAGTGGAGGGATACAGGGTGTCTTGTGGCTAATCACAAGTTTCAGCATGCACTCGATCACTTAGAGGGTTTAGTTGTTGCTCAAATCTTTGAGCTGTCGAAAATGAATCGAGCGGGCACAGGTACCTTGACGCACTACTTCTATATAGATGCTCTTGGCTCATGACCGCTTTTCAGGGTATAAACTATGAAAACACATTGGAAAGGCCCTACAGGCTCGATCAGCGGCCATCCATACAGCCCTCGACCACTACAATGCTGCCACACGATCACTCTCTCCCCCATGTCCATCTCTCACGTGGGAAGAGGTAGTCGAATACGCCTTTCTCTCCGACTTTGACCTCCTCCGTGATGCACGTCAGGATGTATCACAGCATCCTTGGGCAACTCCAACAGGCTGCCTCACCATGGACACCTACTTTAAGATGTGCTGTGCGCAGGAGGAGATCCAGCATCTCAACGTGGAAATTAGATGAGTAGCTACATACTTGCACAATGAGAGCAAGTACTTACTCGAGTGCGAAATGCAACTTAAACCTCTGCATCCTGCACTCGCTCATCAAGTGAGTTTGTATCGCAAGGTTCGTGCGAGGTTCACTGGACATCATCTCCACCACCTGCATGAGATAAGCATGCTGAAAGGCTTTATGGGGAGCATCATCCCAGGCATGAGCATTGAACAAGGACCTGGCGCCAGCGCCAGCATCCCCACTGTGTGCATTCCCTCCAAGCTCATTCATGATGGCCTCTCCATGCCACAGGAAGGTGAGGATGACTTGATGGAGGACCTTGAGGAAGAAGAGGACACTGAGGTTGATGGTGAAGAGCACGCTCGCATTCTCAAAGACATTTTGCAGGTGACTACAGACATTTGATTGTTTTAGCGTAAGATACACTACATTTGGGCCATATAAGAGCCTTAAGATGTCATATGTACTTGTATACTACATACCTGTCAAGGCCTGCCCCAAATCCATAATACCGTTGGCGAGATAGACGAGCTCGCTGTCGTGCACAGCGAGCACAAAGGTTTGGGCGCTGACGTGGCTCGGTTACAATTATCCGGGGGCTGCCGGCATCCAAATATAGTCACACTGTCTAATATTAATTCTGAGGTACACAGGTACAACAGCCGAGGCGGGAACGGATATAGCCGAGACCCCCATACATACCTACACCACCTAAGAGGCTTCAGTAGCACTTATAAGACCCTCCTTTATCGACTATTTATTCATTTGGGTGCATACAGCTGTAAATGACTCTAATTAGACCCGCCATCAGGCCCAACTGTCAAGTCTAATTAGATCAGGTACGTGGGAACCACAGATGCCAAGCCATTACATAGGTACAGCTTACATATTCAAGGGCTCAGCTCAGCCAATTTAGCTGTGGCCAGCAGCTCAAGCCAGCTTGTTGTAAACTTAAGTTTAAGTAAGCAATTGGATGACGTTGGTGATCCGTGCATTGAAGTAGGTAGCGGAGATTCGATGTTTTCGCAACATATAAAATGTATTAAGATCTCTGATGTAAATAATAACAGCGTGTACTCCTAAAAAAAATAGGCTACTATTAAATCACTGCGCCCTTCAATAAAACACTCGTGGCTTAATTCCCAATAGGTTATGAGCCCTGCCATGAGCAAATAAAATCATTATTGTTAATAACAAAAGAGATCTAATCAAAATGACTGATACTCAACACTCTGTATCATCGCTGTATCAGATTGAACATCTCGGCGAAGAAAACTGGATTCCCTGGAAGACTAAAGTCTTAGCCATCTTAGAAGATAAGGGATATGAAGGGCATGTGGATAGTATGAACCTTAAACCGGAGAAGAGCCCAGACCCTGTACCGGATGAAAAGAAGGCCACCATAGCTAAATGGGAAGTGGATGATCAGAAGGCACAGACAATAATTGTGCTGTTAGTGAGTGATGCACAGATGGTGCACCTTACTGGAGCCAATACAGCTAAAGAGATGTGGGACCAGCTGAAACTTGTCAAAGAATCATGATGGAGTGGCAACTCCTGCTAGTGTGTAGAGTCAAGGTGACCTCCTGGATGTGATAGTGTGAGACTACGAACTGCACCCTGCTAAGTCTATGTGCTGACTAAGCTAGCCTGACTCCTGCTCTCGGCCTCTCTCAGACTCTACTTGCCCTGCTAACCCTCTGCCTTGCTCACCCCTTGCTAGGGGGTGCCCTACTCCATGTGCCTCCCTTGAAAAAACCCCGGCGGCATCCTCATTGCCTTCATCAGCTTCTTCCTCTCTTTCTTCATCCTCATCGACATCTTCTTCTCGTTCTTCTCCCTCCTCCATGCTGTATTCCTCTTCTGTTACTTCCTCTAGGTGCGCTTCTTCTCTTTGATCCTCCAGTTTGTGTCTTGCTAATTCTTCTTCGAACACTCTTTGTTCTTCAGCTAACTTGGTGTCTTTTCTTGGTATAAACGTGCGTAGTTGCCTGGCGTGATACTCTCCTGTGACCCTCTCTCCTTGCAGTGTTTCAAGTTCGTACAAATTGTATATTCACACTGTGATTTGGTGAGGTGGCGACCATTTCAGTAATAATTTCTGTTTGGCTTCAAACATGTAGTCTAAACTGCTGCAGTAGAACTGAACCAATTGTCCTGTATAGAATATAACCTCACCTGGGCTTCATTTGAGGACTCGCTTATCGAATGCGGTTTTCCTTTTAATTGCGTGTTGCATGGCTGCATCATAGCCATCTAGTTGTTGCTGCGCCACATATGCCATGTGGGTAGCGATGTCTGCTGTGCGTATCATTGATGTGCAATTACTGAGGTCTGTGCATGGCATATTGACAACTTGTCTGAGTAGCAGTTCTCTCAGTGAGAATTTGAGTGCTGGCAGTATTCTGTGGTTGAGTGCCATGATCATGTCATCCAAGTGATCTGGCCAATTCAGCAGGAGTTTGTTCCATGATAGTCCTTCGTGCTCATCTTCTCTGAGGCTTGGGGCGCACAATCACTTGAGGACATGTAGCAGTATCTTGTTTGTACCCTTTACTAATCCATTGATCCAAGGTGAGTATGCGGCTACAGCATGAGTTTTACAATTCCATTTAGCGCAGAAGTCCTGAACTACAGCATTGTTGAAATGTTTGCCTCCATCGGACATGAAGGTTTCTGATGCTGTGAAATTCTGAAAGATCTGCTGAGAGGCTGTTCACTGTCATTTTTGCAGTACCTGTTGACTTATACTTGAATGCCCAAATGTGCTGAGAGAACGTGTCCAGATATACTCCTAGAGTATTGTATCCTCGAGCTTTCAGCAAGGTGAGATAGTCTCCTACTAGCAGTTCAAATGAATGTCACCGTGTTATCGGTTCTAACAATGAATGAAGGTGGGGCGTACCAAAGTTTTTGCACTTGCTGCAGTTGCTGATAGCTGCCATGATAGATATGTCAAGTCTTGGGCTATAAATACGATCAGTTAGTGCGATTTTGATAGTGTCCCATCCCCAATGACCTCCTTCTGCATGTTGTTTTACTGCCAGCTCCCTTGCTTCCTCTCTCATGACACACTCTACCTTGGTTTGTGCTCATACTGCAGTCCCTCCGCGCAATTGCCATAATTTCCCATCTTGTATTAGGTACTGTGAGGCTTGGTGCCTTGCACTGTAGAAACAAATAATACTGCGAGGCGCGAATGAGGCTCCTGGCTGTATCTGTAAATGTTGTAGGGTCGCATGTTGCCTAGTCTGCTATACTTGTGACAACAAGTGTGTTCGACCCTAAAGGGGAAGCAAGTGCAGCAAGGATCTAGAAGTAGGTGCTGAAGCGAAGCACGAGAAAGCGCACAGGTGCGCGCAAGGCACGAAGGCGTGGGAATGCACACACATGCTGCACAAAGTGCAGGAAAGTGTGCGCAGATATGTGGAAATGAGAGAGACTAAGCTTAAGTGATGTTATAATGCAAGATAAGAGATGAGAGTGCAAGGTGTAAACAGATAGAGTTCTACTGCAACTTTCTAGGTAGTAAGTGCTAGGTAAAGTGAGAGATGAAGTAAGGTGAGCTAAGGTGCCTCATAGTATGTACTGCTGGCGCTTATATAGCATGCCTAAGCGCTGTCATGCGGAGCCGAAGCACTACCGAGTAAGGTATGTAAAGATATATATGAGTGAGAGTCCATGATAAAAATAAAGGTGGAACAATATGCTAATAAGAGAAATGGAAATAAATGCACTAGAGGGCTTGGTGGACAGTGAATGGATGCTTCTGGATGGCTGGCGCTATAGGGCACTCAACTGCAGGAAAGTGTGCGCGCATATACATCGCGAAGCACGGTAATGGTGCGCGTTGCGCGGTGTAGGGATTCATTTCTGGCTGGGCTTGTAGAGACTGTTTTTACCTTACCTTATGTTGGCACTTTTGTAGCTTACATAAGCAAGCAATCTTTTCACCAGTTACCAGTATGAGTCTGAGTGCTCAGCAGTTTTCTATGATATTTCCTCTCCTCTGAGCCTTAAGCATAGTCCAGAAACCCTTTAGGGTCAAATAGCAGCTAGGTTCTGCAAGACCCAACATATTGTTCAGACTCACCATCTGAATTGTTGTACCTTCAGCGGGAAAGCTGCGCCTCATATAGGGATAGCTGCGGACAGCACACAGAATGATGCTGCAAGTTCATGTAATGAACTCCTTAGTGAAAAGTGCCATATCATACCATGAGAGGCATGAATCTCTACAGCACATTTCCGGTTGTGGACCTCTTTACCTTGATCAAGTTGTAGCATTGCCTCGATAACTTCCAGGAATACCGGTTCGTTCGCAAATCTTGTCTGGAGATTTGATGCTGTAGATTCATCGACGTTAGTAGATAATAGCAATAGATCATTAATCAAACCTGAGTTGGACTCCCAGTCCTCACTGACTGTTCATTCGCTTCTGTCGATCAATCCGATATCTCGAGGTTGGCCTTCCCATCGACGACTAAGGCCATCAGCAATGACATTGAGTTTTCCTGGTATGTGTCTCATGTCTACAATGTTGTGCGCCAGTATTCCGTCCCTCCATCTTGCATGGGCCACATTCAGACGGTTACTGATAAGTACGTCCTTCAGCGCTTGGCAGTCAGTTTCAACCTCTACTGGGAAGCTCCAGATAATATCTGAAAATTTGTCTAGTGCAAATTTCAGTGCGGCAAATTCTAATAGGAAAGGTTTATAATTTCATTCTGTTGAAGATGTTCGTTTTGAGGCGAATCCTATTGGATGGAGACGTTGTAGAGAATCATGCCTCTCATGGCGTGATATGGCAGTTCCCACCAAGGAGTACATAGCATGAATTTGTAGTGTCACTCCGTGCGCTACCCGCAGCTATCCCTATATGAGGCGCAACTTTCCTGCGCAACGCGCACCATGTGCGCACCATTCCTGTGCTTCGCGATGTATCCGTGCACGCGCGTTCCCGCGCTTGAGCGCCCTATAGCGCCAGCCATCCAGATGCATCCATCCACTGTCCACCATATTCTCTAGTGCGTATATTTCCATTTCTTTTATTAGCATATCATTCCACCTCTATTTTTATAATGGACCCTTACTTATATATATCTTTACATACCTATTCGGTAGCGCTTCAGCTCTGCATGACCGCGCTTAGGCGTGCTATATAAGCGCCAGCAGTACATACTACGAGAGGAAGTTTTCCACTTACTTTTCACCCAACTTTACTTTTGACTTGAGTACCACCCACTATTTACCTAGCTGAACATAGTAGAAATCTATTTGTCTGCACTTTGCACCTCTCTTCACTTGTCTTACATCTTATCCTCACTTAAGCTTACTCTTTCTCATTTCCGCACACGCGCGCGCGTTCCCGCGCCTTCGTACCTTGCGCGCACCTGCGCTTTCTCGCGCCTCGCTTCAGCATGTACCTCTAGATCTTTGCTGCACTCGCTTCCCTTTAGGGTCAAACGTGCTTGTCTCCATCAAGTAACGCAGACTAGGCAACGCACGACCTACAACATTTTATAGATACAGTCAGGAGCATTCAATTGTTCCTCTCAGTATTGTTGTTTATACAATGTTCCGTCCATTTACCTGCTGGGTTCTTTGTGCACGTTCTCTGGGACAGCACCACTGCGAAACCTTCAGCACAGCCATCAGATGTTACTATGAAGTTGGAACCATCATACTTCGGTGCTTGCAATATGGGTTTTGATACTAAAGCCACCTTAAGATCCAAAAAGGCTTTCGTGTGTTGTTCTGCCCATAGACTTTGAAGCTTGAAGTTGTGTAAGGTTCGTCTGTACGTGTTCTTCATATATGGGACCATCAGTGGTGCTTCTTTGACTAGGTTTTGTAAGGGTCCTTCTCACCTCAAGTAGTTCTGGATTAAGTCTCTGAAATGGCTAGTGAGTCCTAAGAACAATTCTAGGTTTAGGGCGTCTGATGGCTGTTCCCAGTTTACGACTGCGGTTAGTTTTGCTGGGTCCAGTTGCACGCCTTTGGGTCCTACATTTGTGCCTGCAAACGTAGTCTCCGTCATGAACAAACGACACTTCATGGGAGATAGAGAGATTTTGCACTCGCAACATCTTTTAAATATTTGTGTTAGTCTCTCCATCATTCCATCAAACATATCTGCTGCTGTTCCTCCGTCATCAACGAACAGTTCCATTGTACTGTCGGCTAATATATCGTGCAGGTTAGTTGCTGTCATCTCTGAGAATGTTGATGGGGTGCCCATCAGGTCCATTGGCATTCATTTATACCAAAAATATCTGTGACCCTCAACGTAAAATGCCGTGAACAGTCGCGATTCTTCTGGGACTTCGACACCATAGAATCCAGACATGAAGTCAAATACTGACATGTACCTGTGACCGCTGAGTCAGAGTTGTTTAGCTCTTATATCTCCCTGTGGCATTGGTGCTGAGCCCCTTCAGTGACAAATTCCGTATTATACAGGCCACCCGACCTCCATAATATCCCGTATGAGACGGGCCAGCTGATCATGGGCCCATGTTGTGTATATTCTCGATGATGACGGATGGGCCAGGACTCATATTATTTCCGATGGAGACGGGTGGGCCCATGTATGCCAATGATATATATATGCTTAATGTTGACGGATGGGCCGGGGGAATATGATCATTCATGGAGATGGGTGGGCCCATCTGGGTAATATGTAGAGTAGGATATTATAGACAGCTGGGCTGAAGAGAGATGTAAGGCAAATATTGTTATATAGACAGGCGGGCCGACGTGGGTGTATTACATATATGGGTGGGCCGAGGTAGGGGAATATTACATAGACGGGTGGGCTGACGTAGGGTGTATTACATATACAGGTGGGCCGACGTGGAATGTATTACATATACGGGTGGGCCGACGAAAGAGATATCAAATAGACCGGTGGGCCGAGGGTGCTATAAAATATTTATTACATAGACAGGTGGGCTGAGGTGGGGTATAATTATATAGACGGGTGGGCTGATGTAGGATGTATTATATAGACGGGTGGGCCAACATAGGATGTATCACATAGACGGGTCAGCCGACGTGGGGGATAATACATAGACGGGCGGGCCGACGGGGGTGTATTACATATATGGGTGAGCCTAGATATGTTCCATCAAGACATACAGCTGATGTAGCCACCAGCGAATCAAACACATAGGATACATGTACACTATCATGTCAGAAATTCTTAATTTAGATTTCAACCCCTTGCAACGGGTTTCAATGCCCAAATGCAGGGCGCGTCTTTAAATATGTTGCTATAATAGAGTTAGCATTGTCATGATCATTTAAATGACGGTTGCAAGCTCGGTTGCCATAGCCTGCCAATCATAGATGAGTCATTACAATCAAGACTGTGACATTGTATCACGATTTTCATGAGAGTCGCAACCGTCATTGCAAAGTTGTTGCAACTCCATTCAAATAGACAGTCAATGCATGGTAATAGAAATATTGTTTTTGCAAGACAGATTTCAATTTATTCAAACTGGTGCTATTAAACAGGATTCAGATATTCAAAATTAAATACTAACGAGTCTGAATCTAACTAGTCCTGCTTGTCCTCGTCTGCACCAAGTCTGATATGATCTTAATATCGAGACCATCATTAGTATTCTGCAAGACAAGCAATTAACAGAATAAAACATACCTGATGTACTGCCCAGATGCCCACAGCGCTGTGCAGGTCTTTCTCCTTCAGCTCTTTCTGTCGTGAGACATGGCGCTCGAGAGGGAGATGAGACATAGGGAGACAAGGAGAAGAAGCTGGAGTTCATAGAAACCAAGCATGCCGGGCGGGCCCTCAAATGACGAAAGTTGGGCTTTGCGGGTCCACTGGATCCTGGAATGGACCTGGAGTGACGCAGATGTGACACCAGTGGGGACGGTGGTGTTGCATTTGATGAGGGCGGTCATGTCACCACTGGCAGTCTCAATACCAAGCGATAGAGGAATGACATCAAGAAGTAAGAGGTCCTGGGTCTTCTCGGAGGTGTCGCCGAAAAGAATGGCAGCCTGAACGGCAGCACCGTATGCAATGGCCTCGCCAGGGTTGATGCTCTTGTTGGGTTCCTTGTCGTTGAAGAAGTCAGACACGAGTTTGACAATATGGGGGGTATACATGGAACCACCAATAAGGACGATTTCATGAACGTTAGCCTTGTCGATCTTAGGAGTCCCGGAGGACCTTCTCGACAGGCTCGAGCATGCTGCGGAACAGGTCCATGCACAGCTCCTCGAAAAGGGCACGACTGAGGGGAGCAGTCAATCTCGATGGCAATCTGGGTTGCTGACGAAAGGGTACGCTTGGCATGCTTGCAAGTGGTCTGTAGACGACGGAGAGCACGAGGGTTGGAAGAGAGATCTATTATGTTGTCAGCAGCCGAATTGATGAATAAAAAAATTACTTACCCTTCTTGTGCAAGGTGGTTGATGAACGTTGCAATGATATCATTGGATTCCGAGTCTGTTTAAGTCACAACAGGGTGCAAGAAAATCAATACCTTGTCAATGAAATTTAAACATTGCGTGATAGTGTTTCAATGAATCTAAAGCGGGAGAGCAGGTTGAAGTGAGATTGCGATCAAATTGAAGTGAGGAGCATCTGATGTTAATTTGGTTGTCATGAAAAGTCAATGATGGAGCAAAGGTTTTCAAGCGACATTGGAATAGTGGGAGAGAAAAGGAGAAATGTTTAACTGAATTTGGGTACTATTTAAATTGGAGGCCGTGTCGGTATTTCAAAAATTTAAATGTGCCTGATCCCCTAGTACAATGTAAAATAGTGCTAAGAAGCAATAGAATGAGCCTAAGAGAAACATAATAAGTGCAGGAATGGAACACCGATTCGAAGGACGACAGGATAACATTGATGCAGAAACTATTTGCGAGACCGAGTTGTGCGAGAAACTGCAGCTTGCGGAGCTGCCTTCTTTCTGGACCCTCTAGTTTTTGTCCGCCCTCGTGCACTGACACTATCTCCAACATTCTGTGTGCTTTCCTCGACAACTTGTGCACCAACATCAGCAACCGGTGCATCATGTATTACAATATCAGATGATGCTTCAGGTTGGGAATGATTGAAGTCGGGCCTTGCACCAATAGCACTTGGACTTTGGGTGGCAGAAACAATGGAAGGTGGATTAGCAACCGAAAGAGCAGCAGATATTTGAGCCGAAGCATCAGATTCATGGTCCGATTCGCTGCTGTCCATATCCAGCGCCGCAAGTGCACGATTGATGGCACTCGCATGATCTTGTTCGGCTGATGGGTCAACAGAAGGTCCTTTCGCAGCCTCGAAGACATAATTGTTGATGTTGGCGACGATCAAGGTGACACGCCTGGTGGTCCATTTCGAAACAAGAACCTTCTTGTAGTTGTAAAACAAGGTCTTGTAATTGATGTTTGACTTCTTCCCTAGGCCCGAGCTCGAGAACTCAGTGTCTGGCGAGAGTAGAAATATCGCCTGTCGCAACAATACATGACAAATGACTGAGTCTCGAGGTGTAAATGACTGAAATGCTGACTTACAATAACTGCCGCCCATGCTATCGCTCCTGGCGTGATTTGATGAACGCTCCATTTGAGAGCATTAGTATGCGCGCCGCCGCCACTTGACCTGTGGTGGAGCGAGGTAACACCACGCAACGAAGCTTTGAGAACCTAAGTAATCATATTACATTCAGTAAGATAAAGCATCAACACAATAGTGATAAGACTTACCCGGGCTAGTAGCTCCCAGTTCCCGAACACTGTCTTCAGCGACGTATCTTCCTTCAACCCTGGAAACAAGATTGGCGGGAAAGTCTTGTATGTCTGGTTTGCAGCAGACGAAACGCCAAGTAACTGTTGGATTTCGGGAATGGTGGCTCTCTCGAAGCTGGTGCTGGTGAAATACTTTGAGGGAAGGTTGAAAATATCACCAGCAACGCCACGAAGTTTCTTGATTTCGTTGGCGTGAGCATCAGGAATACATTTCAGTACCTAATATTGCTGCATTAGTGATTCAACATGGTAACTCTAATAACAAGCTACATACCATATCGCTGAAATACGAGCTTTCCATTATCTTGTGCAACGATTTGGGAAAATGATGATAAAGCTCGTGTAAGAATGCAGAGTCCTGCGTTGCCGCAGTCTTGTATCGGTCGGGGCTATCGAATGGAGTGGGAGCTTCCGGGAGTTTCTTGTTGAGAAGGTCGCTACTAGGAAACATCTCCATCATCATGCCATACTTACGGGCATAGATGGTGATAGTATCCTCATGAACGCTAAGTTCATGCTGTGTGTCCACGCACCGTTTTCGTTTCGGCTTCTCGGCACGCAAAGTCTTATTCTCCTCCTTGATGCTCTTGTTCTCATCTTGAAGACGCTGCATTTGAACCTGCAGTGTTTTAAGCACCTGAAACAAATCAAGTTAGAAAGTAGCGCTAACAGACGGATCATATCTTACCTCTAGAAGCTCCCCTTTAGAAGCGCTGGGGGCCGGAATAGAGATATGAGTAGGATTGCCGCCCTGGCCATCAGAGTCACTGTCTGTGTCTGAGTGCGAGTGTGACTGCATGACGTGCGACATGTTTGCCAAACAGAAGGCTTTGGAGAAGAGTTTTGTTGAATGAGGGGGCGAGAATACACAATTAGTATCACTACAACACTTTAAATGATACTGCGCTATCACCTCGTGTTTGCTCGACGTAATACTGCTTGCAGGAACTTTACATGTTCATAGATGTAACCGAAACCTTGTTATTATATCAAGACATATTGGTCAGTGATCCATCAGTTGTAAGCGTTGAAGTACCCACCACGAGTAATAAAACATGCACGAATGTACGCATATCAAGCACCGCCATCACAATGAAGGTATCGTCCCTAATCGACAACGAATCGTGTAGGACGGTACCAGACCTATCTGCATCATCCCTAGTATCACATAAATCAAATAGTTAGTAGCCAAGCAGCATAGATATCATAACAACACCTAGTAGCTATGTATCAATACAAATCAGACATGTCAAAGAGATGCTACTCACCAGTCAAATGCGCACCACATGCCCTGCCTGCAGATGCATTTCCTTCACACGAAGGAACATATCTGTGTCAACCGTATCGACAACAAAGTAATCGAGGTTTTCGTCGTGCACTAGAAGTGCCCCGCGGATGATAGACCTGGTGGAGAAAAACTCTGCCTGTGCCCGCGGTTTTGCTCGAACTCTAAGAAGGTTAAGGTGCTTGTCTTTTCGAAGTCGTACACCTATGGGAGCGTCATACGGGTGGACGAGAGCAAGCGGAAATACATTGTCTCCAACTGGGCACTCGAAAAGCAAGAGCAGGCGTCCAAGGATGACCTTTTGGTTGGTCTGGATGAACACGCAATCGAAACGTGGTGCATTAAAGAACTTTGGATTGCACCGAAGGTAATCGGTATATTGTCGCCAGTCCACCATTGACTCGTAGTTGACACGCAACAGTCGACATGTCGTGATCTGTCTTGTGTGATTAGTGCGGTAAGGGCTACTACTAAATTGAACAAACTTACTGTGTGAGTTGATAAGAGATGGATTCTCTTCCCATCTGGTAGGGGTATGTTGCTTGCAGGTAGAAATACGTTTAAAAATGAGTTCAGCTTAACATGGAAGTTGGAAAACGCGATGTCATCCTTGTGGGAATTCTCAATGAGACTAAAGGTCTGCAGAGCTTCCCTCGACCCGAATTTCACATGCATAGACCCATCCAAAGGGCCAAAAACATGTCTTATGGGGTTCGTCAATACCTCGGAGTCAGGATCATCTTCATCGGCATCTTCGTCGATGTCGTTTGCTTGGCGTTGTGATATTACGTATTCATCCAAGTCAAAGATTCGACGATGGATATCATCCGCAACGAGTAGCCAGTGGTCTATACGAAGAATCTGTAATTATGATGTCCCATGAGTAGATAAATGCGAAAGTTGCCTTGTATTACTCACCTGTTCTGCGATGTTCTTGAAGTTTGTCCGGTGCTGGTACCAATCCTTCAATGGCCCATGCATTTGCTCATTTGGCTTCGTATTATAGTTCCTTGTGACCCCTTTAGCCTCTATATCGTCAAATAGATGCGTGATCATGTGGAGTTTTGGAAAATTCCAATTTTTATCATCCTCCTCTGTTGCCATGATATATTGCTACAATACTGTCAATTCATTTGCTAAAGTAGAGAGTTCTAAGACATACTTTCATGAATGCCGTTAGGGCTTGAACAGCGCTTCTGCCCTCGCTGATGGTATTCGTTGTGTGAACCTCAAAGGCAGCGTACATGTCGACCTCGAGGTAAAGGCGTACACAGCGAACTAGAAGGTACCCAAGCAGAGAGGCTTCCTCTGTTAGGATGTTGTGCATAGCATATATTATCATCTGTAGTGAAATAATGTGTTAGCGAGATAGTTGCGCACAATAATAACTACGAACCTTTGATATATCTTCATGGACGGAGCTGTCTGCAAATGTAATACTCATTACTTGGTTCGGATGCTTCAAATTTCGCCATCGGGGAAATGCTGCAAAACTGATGACATAGTAGAAGAGGATGTCATGTTAGATATTGACATAATCGAGGGAAAGAGACGCACTTCTTATCAACTTGGGCTACTTTTGCCCTTCCGAGGCTCGTCAAGTGCTTTTGCAGCTCGACCCAGTAATGACGGGACCAAAGACCGCCATGGTTGTAGTGACACCGGTCATGCGATAGCGCTCGATGTACATCTGAATATCGGATGGCCCAGAATGAATTCTAAAAATAAGTTAATCTAAGAGCGTCGCAAATAGTAGACACAAAACTCACAGTAACATTACGAAGTCCATGTTGTTTGAGAAGCTCTTCTTGTTCTTCATGGGTGTCCATTTCCTGTGCAGCCAGTACAATATCCCACGATGTGTCGGCGATTCGGTGGGTATATTGTTTTGACGTATCCCAAAGCTCGTCTCGAGGAATGAGACAGATAGGACATGGCCAAAGGCTCATGACCCCTCGAGTAAGTGACATAACGCACCTGTAAATTATCGTTAGGAAAAACACGATGTAGAATGATAGTACTTGCTGTTCCTCATAATCAGCTGACAAAATAAGTAGACAAAGGAAGAACCACCAATCAATGCCATCTAGGCAGGGGTACCATTGTCCTGTCCTTGATTTCGATGCCAACGAAGAGGTGATTTTCGCGAATGACTCGTGCCAGACTGCATTTTTGAAGTTGACCCAGCTTGACTTTCCAGAATGCTCTTTATCTTCTGTCACCTAATACAATACAACCCCACCATCAGCATCGACAATGAGACAAACATTGGGACATACAATTGGCAGCCATCCTACAATGTAACCACTACCTACACCTCGTCCGTTCCGAATATCAGTAGGTAGATTTGCTAAGCGCGCGACAACTGGGTATCCTTTCGCAGTACCGAATGATGATAATCTTGTTTTATCGGCGTATAGGATGAAAGCTAGTGGCTTTGCATCCTGTGGTAGTTGCGACTACAAATGCACAATGTTTACATACATACAACAAGGATTGAAACTACAGGATACATACTTGCACATTCCAAAAGTCTTCCGCGGTGAAAGGTTCATCTACAAAGCGGACGAAGGTTTGCCCATCAAACTTCGATAAGTGTTGTGCGTCGAACTGGAAGTGAGGGAAGAGGTTAGGGTCCCGAAGTAGGTCAGTAGCGAGATCCCAAAGATCTCTGTAGTATACATCGAATTCCTGCATCTTGCCGTCGTAGGGGACCGAGATCACATCTTTCGTGAACTGCACTTCGAGAAAGGTCAAATTCGGAGTCCATACAGCAAAGAATGAATGGAATCACCTTTGTGATCCGATGGGACGCTGCTTCCCACTTGCTGTGAATGTCTTTATGGTTCTTCAGCGTAAAACTATCCTTTCTGAGAGAACATTGATGGCAAATGTTGATGAGACGGTCCGTTTGTTCGTTGTTCAATCCGACCTCAAGAGCAAGCTCGGCTACTTCAAATTCAAGTCGAGATTGAAATGGGCGCCAAGGGTGGTTATTGGGAGTGGTGTAAGCCGAAGATGTTGCAGGACGACGATGAAAATTGTTGAAGGGATAGATTTGCGCCTTGATGCCACTATTTGGGTGATGCTCGACCTTGATGTCATCGAGCGAATAGGTGGGTGGTGCTGAAGCGTCCATAGGTTCAGGCTCAAAATGGTCTGAAAAATCGATAGCATTATTGATCATAGTTACAGTAATAGCGATCCAGAAATTGATTATCAATGAGATATGTACTAATAGACTCACCAGTCAAGCTGAAGTCCACATCAAAGTCATGTGCAATATCATGCTGGTAATCTCTCGCCTCGACTAGGGACAGATGAGTCAAAAAGACAAACATTGAAATGATAGAAAACATACTTGGTGTGTGAGCGCGACTAGGTTGAGCTGTCCGTTGTCCATCAAGCACAGATTCGTTCAGTGCTGGAATACTAATCATTAGCTTTGAAATTGGGCATACAATCAAACGCACCTTTTTCCTGCCGAATTGCATCTACAATGGCCTGATCACGGTGCCGCTTGTCTGCATTTGTCTCACAAGCTTTCCGATGAGTAGTCCAACCTCGCGGCTTGATGTCCTGACCACATAAGTCGCAGAACCTTGTGCGGTTGGGGGCCATTCTTGATGATAGAACTAACACAGGATTATATACAGAGACCTGAAGGACGGAGAAACTGGAAAAAGATCACTGCTGGCGCTGATGGAATGATAATGGGAAGGGCACATCCGTGATGTAATTTGAAACTCAGTCATAAGTATTATCTTACCATTTCAACGCGTAATCAGCATTGCCTTGTCATTTCAGGCAACATTTCAATGACATCTAAATAGGGACTCATTGCAACCGTTTTCGCAAATTTCCGACACAGTGCATATACCTACCATCAACCACCAAATCTAAACCCCTAAGCACAAAAACATGAATCTATCATGTGTGGCATTGACCAATAATCCAGGACTGAAGTGGAAAAACCCCACACCTGAACCCTGGTGTGCAACAAATCCTATTTCTAAGCATGGACACCAGAAGCACAACACTCACAAAAATATATATGTCAAATTTTCAGTGCCAAACCCCAAACCGAGATGTACCAACCCCCGAACCCCGAAACCCGAGAGTGCCGGGTCTCGGGTATCAGGTGTCCGGAACTCGGAACTTGGGAGAATTTGGGGAGATCAATACAATTTAATTTACAATCGAGTTGATTGACAACACATTGACTTACCCATGTTTGCAATATATTTTTGTTTAGACATACCGAGTTCCGAGTTCCGGACACCGGAGACCCGAGACCCGAGACCCGGCAGTCTCGGGTCTCGGAACTCGGTATGTCTAAACAAAAATATATTGCA